TTTTTTTTTTTTGATTCTTCTTCTTGAACCAGCAATAAAAATTTGACTTTAAATATGTTCTATTCTTTAACTGCAAAAAAAAAGAAGAGAAAGACTATAGCAGACATTCAGTGAAAATTTATGTAGTATAACAGGCCATATAAGTATACTTCAAATGATTGCACGTCACAGAACAGTTTTTCCTTTTCTTTCTTTAAAAAAATAGAATTAAAAAAAAAAAGAGAAAGATTTGCTAAAATTTTGTTTTTTTTTTTAAAAAAAAAAAAGAAAGTATGCAATGAATGACGCCATATTGCAATCACTCTTTTCTTCATTTCCTTTCTTCTTCGTCGCTACAGTAATGACGTCGCCGATGTTCCGTCAAAACCCTTCTCAAAACAGTTGCAATTCCTTCAAAAAAGAAAAAAAAAGGTATTAGAACCTTTTAAAGATGTACTTTTAGACTGTTGTAAAAATTAACTGTCCCCTGCAACACATCATTCTTTTTTTTTTTTTCTTGGAAACTTCACTATCCATTTTGTATATTTTTTTCTGTTTACTAATGTCGACCTGTAAACAGAACTCGTTTCTAATTCTTCTTGTTCTATATTAACAGTTTACAAGAAATTTGCTGATAGATTACTGCCAGCTATTGGTTACTAATTATCAATATCAGATTAAAGTTTTGTTCTAGTTTTATTTAAAAAAAAAAAAAACTTGTTTTTTTGAGAATGTTGAATAAAGTGAGCATTTCATGCCACTGATATGATCAGTGGAATATATTCGACCGGTAACTGGATTCCTTATTGTCAATGATGTACAGTAATACTTAAAAATAGTTCCAATAACATAGATAAACCTTTACAGTAATTAAGAGAATTGTCAAAAAAATATGCTGCAGTACAGTTACAGACAGTTTTACTTTATTGTTTTATTTCCGTAATACTGCTACATTATTGGCAATTAAATTTTAGATAAAATAAAAATAAAAATTAAATTTTTACAGACCCAAAAAGTTACTTTCCAAAAATTTATTACAGAAGAAAATATAAGTGCTAAAGGATTTTATAGTAAATAAGTGTTAGCGGTGAAAACGATTAAATGCAAAACGATCGGTGAATAACAGACAGTAATTATTTTCCATAATGAACCTGTTAAACTGCAATACCATTGCCCTTCCAAAGTGATGTCCACACATTAGTTGCCGATTACGCAACAAATAAACCTGGCGATGGACGCATCGATGGCTGCATCATAGACCTCTAGATGAGGCATCATCGAGCTACGGTGGTAGATTTAAAACCAGCAGTAGCCAGGCTCAACATTTCATCAAAATCTACAGATTCTGTTTTAAAGCCGTATTTATTCATTTTACTACAGTACTACAGTCGTCCACAATACATATGTCAGAGTAATCACTTTTCTTCAACTTATATTCGGCATTTAAAGTAAACTTTAAGAATGTTTATTAAACTGAATAACTTGTGACTGCAACTGCTAAACAAACCTTAATCCGAAAATAAATAGTATCAAAAATTTTAAATTCTGTAGGTTCAAAAAACAGAAAACTCAAGTGCAAATAATAAGCGAAAAGAACTAAATAATGAAAAGAATAATATTCACTATTTAAACACTCTTCAGAATTTGAATTTTACATGTACACTCAATCATGATTATCCAATGAAACACGATCGTCGTCATGTAACTAGTGTAATCAAGTACATCTTGCAAAAAGGTCGATCATCTGTTGCATAACCATTTTTTTTTACACCACTGTCTCTGAAGGCGCAGAATACGCAGAACTGATCAAACTTCATGAATACCTTTATAATGCCATCATAACAGCCTAGATTAAACCATAAACCGATTTTCATCGAAAAAAAAAAAAACCTGCTGCCCAAATCCTGTCCTTGTAACGCCAGCAACGACTATGTGGTTGCTAAGTAATGATTTTGCAGATATCTGCAAACTCCGACGTAACTTCGAGTACTGTAGCTATAACATTAAACCGCAACTTTAAAGTAAAAATCAAAATAAAACGAAAATTGGCACAAAATATAA